TGACACAGAAAGCGAGAGAGGGAACACAAGCAGGGGGATGGGAGAGGGAGAAGCAGGCTTCCCGCGGAGCAGGGAGCTCGATGTGGGGCTCGATCCCAGGACCCTGGGATCATGACCTGAGCCGAAGGCAGACGCTTAACGACTGAGCCATCCAGGCGCCCCACAATTCAGTGATCTTTAGTAAATTTATAACCTTATACAGCTATTACCATAACCCACTTTCAGACCATTTCCATCATCCATAAAGATCCTTTGTGCTCATTTGTAGTTGATTTGTTACCTGATTTTTTGCCATGTTATTACATATTCAGCAAATATTTATTGAGTGTCTACTATGTGCCAGGCAGTAATCTGGATGGTAGTTTGTAAAACAGATAAAAATCCTTGCCCTCTTGGGGCTTGCATCTTATAGAGCTAACTTTGTATTCTTCCTTAAGATCAGTTTAAATAATGACCTAGTATTCAGTATGTAGGTGCACTATGCTTTAATGATTTCCAAGAAGGTGGACATTTTGGTTGTTTTCATTGTTTTGCTGTTGTAATTGAATATACTTACGGATAAATTCTTGTGCCTATATCCGTGACAGAGAAGTGCGCAGTCAAGAACAGTGCCTGTCGTAAGGCTTTTGTCATACTTGGCGGACCAGGAGTGCAGGAGAGCACCGCGGTCCTTATAGCACTACCAACTGGGATTAAATCTTACCAATCTGAGAAAGATTTGTGTCTCATGTTAATTTTTATTTGTTTGTTTATTGATGTTGTTAAGCACTTTATCTGTGTTTCAAGACTATTTTAATTTCTTTTTTTGAAGCGTCTGTTCATAGTCTTTTGCCCATTTTTCAATTGTTAAATTTGCTTTTATTGATTTGTAAGAGTTTTATACTTCTTCACCATATATGTCGTATTTTTCATAATTTGTCTTTTGTTCATTTGTTTTTGGTCAAAAGCCATTTTTTAGATGTGCAAAAGGTCTTCTGTGGTTAAATCTGTTTTTTCCTCTGGTATCTGTCTTTGTGTGCTTAGTAAGACCTTCTCTAGAAATTTTTTTGGGGGGTATGTGGTGGAGAAGGGATCTAACTTTATTATTATATATTCCTATTACCCAAGCAGCATCTATTTCAAAAATTCTTACTTTTTCACTGATTGGAAATGGCCCACAGGGCCCATCTGGTCTGACTTCCACCTGCCTTGACAGCCTCGTTAGGCCTCTGTCCTTCCCCTTGCTCCTTCCCCCAACTGTACCACAATTCTCTGACAGCGCTTTCCTTCCTGCTCAGGCTCTCCTCGCTTTGTGTCATTCCTTTTGTCTGCAGCACCTCCCCGCCCCCCCCATTACAAAAGATCTCATAGTCCTTGTCATAGTTTATAACGAGAGAATTTGAGCTCACCTGGACCCCTCGTGCCTGGTGCGGGGAAGAAGACAGTGTATACTCACAGTGAATGAATTCTAGCGTGATCATACATTTTGACATCTGTATGTTTGGCTGTTTTTTTGTGTTTTTTTTTTTTTTTTTCTAAAATGTCTTCAGTATTGGGCGCCTGGGTGGCTCAGATGGTTAAGCGTCTGCCTTCGGCTCAGGTCATGAACCCAGGGTCCTGGGATCGAGTCCCGCATCAGGCTCCCTGCTCCTTGGGAGCCTGCTTCTCCCTCTGCCTCTCTCTCTCTCTCTGTCTCTCATGAATAAATAAATAAAAAAATCTTAAAAAAAGTGTCTTCAGTATTTATTCTTCTAGATCTACACTGTCCACAGTGTGGTAGCCACTGGCCACATGTGGCTATTGAACACTTAAATGTGGTTATTCCAAATTGAGATGTGCTGTAAGTGTAAAATACACATCACATTTCAAGAGTTAGTATGAAAAAAATGAAAGGTCCCATTAATAACTTTCTAATAACATAGTTATTATAATGAGTTGTTAGAGTACTTAACTAGGTTAAGTAAAAATGTATAAAATTTTAATACTTTTATTAATGGAACTGCTAGAAAACACTACACAAGTGGCTGGCATTATATTTCTGTTAGACAGCAGTGTTCTAAGATGAATTTTAAATCATTTTGTGAAGTTACTAAGGAAGTACTTCATTGGACTGCATTATAGTCATAAATTAATTTTGGGGGAAAGTGTGTAGCATGGGATCTTTCTGAAGCGTGATATGTATCTTCATTTATACATGTTTTTGTCCTTATTAAAGTGTTACAGTTTTCTTCTTGTAGATCCTATTTTTTGTTTATCCCCCAGGTATTTTATAGTTTCTGTTACTATTGTTGGTTGTGACTTGTCATTATCTTACCTAACTGGTTTTTTATGTAGAATAATTTTTGAAATGCTTCATTTGCTAGTTCCTGCTTCCAAACAGATTTGTTCCAGTGATTCCCTTGTGTTTTCTGTGTAAATAGTCCTGTCTGCCTTGAATAGTAATTTTACCTCTTCTTTTTTAATGGCTCTGTGCCTTAATTTTCTCTTGTCTGTGGCTTTGGCTAGAACTTCCAGAACAATGTTAAGTAAGAGAAGTGATGGGCAGACAACCTTGTGTCCTCCCAGGGACTAACGGGAATGCCTCTACGAAAGTGTTTACCGGAGTGTGCACCAGGGAACACTAATTCTTGGGAATATTTACATGTGTACCTTGAGAGAAGAGTTACACACTTAAATGAGTGTGCAAACTGCTGAGCTAAATAGAATTCTTGTCTGCAGGACTTTTCAGGTGGGTTATTAGGCTAATATATTGTATAATCCCTAGGAGGTAGGGATATTGAATCTAGTGCATGGGCTTGTGTGCTACTAAATACATTTTGGGAAATGCAGATACGATGTTTCTAAGGATGATGTTGCCATTGGCTTTGCAGTAGGTGCTGTTTATTACATTAGGAAAATATTCTCTTCCTATTTTTTCCTTAACTTTGAAAAGGCTTTTAACTTTCTAAAATCCACGTTTGGCATAGTTTTGATTTGGCCATATGGTTTTTCTCCTTTGACTTACTGATGTGGCAGATTATACATTTCCTAACATGTTGCCGCCCTTACATTTGGTCACAATATATTATTCTTTTAATAGGTTATGTTTCCGAGTATTTCCTTGAGGACTTAAAATCTGTTTACTTAGATAAAGTTGACAGTCGTCTTCTTTATCCTGTTCGCCATCTTCTGGTATCAGATTTATGCCATATAAATTGAGATGCTTTAATTTTTTTTTTTGAGATGCCTTAAATGTTTCAGCATGCATCTAAAACAGTGTGAACGGCCTGAAGATCATTTATGCTTTGGCACTTCTGTTTCTTTTTATTTAATTCTGCCAATTTATGTTATTCTAAAAATATGTCCGTTCCGTACAGATTTCAAATTGATTTCAATCATAAATCTAGGATAAATAAGGGCACAGTATTCCTCCTTAACTGAAATGTTTTAACTCAGATTCTGACATGATAAAAAAAATTCTAGTGTGATCTAGTCACACTAACTGGTTGATCCTTTCCTGCGGGCGTCAGATTTAATTGCACATTGTTGTGTCTTATAATTTTAAATTTTCTCTGCGATTATATGCTGTTCTGTATTCGTTACTTTTTTGCTTTCTTTGGGTCTAATTGGTTGTTTTCTGACCTCTTTGATTTCATTTATTTTTCTTCTTTGTTGTTTAATGATAAAAACTTTTAAGGCACTGACTTTCCCTGTTAAAATTTGTGGTTTCAAAATCCTCAACATTTCATTTTGAAAAATTTCAAATATACCAAAAAGGTGGATTTTACAGAAAACACCTGTATACACCCACCATCTATGCTCTACACATTCCTGTGTTTGCTTTATCACCTATATATCCATCTCTTTTTTTTGGATGCATTCTCTAGTAAGTTGAAGACATAATTAAACTTAAACTTTACTCCTGAATCTTTCTTGCTGCAGATTTGATGTGAGTTTTCTTTTTTTCTAAATAGTTTTTTCCTTTTTGATTTCCTCTTTGATTCAGTGCTTATTCAGAAGGTGCTTAAGTTTCTATTGGTTGAATTTTAACCACTGAAATTTAATTATTAGATCTGATTTTGTTGTGTCTTGGTTAGAGAGTGCAGCCTGGGCTGTATCCACTTCCATGGTTATGAGCGATTTGGTGCATTGGGTTCTTGGCAAGGGCAGCCAGCCTGTCCAAGGTGTGCGTGCGCTGTGAGCACTGGTGGACAGTGATATGCTTGTGATATGTCCATCACTCTTGGTGCTTGTCCTGTCTAAAGCTCTTCACTGAAAGGGTCAATTGCCAACCCAAAAGGATATAAAGGTGTGCAGAACTGAAGGGGAAAAAAACGCACTTCAAGGCAACTCAGATTCTAAGCTAAAAAGGGTTTAGCTCCGTTCAGTGTATCCCATGTGCTGTCTGCTTGAAAAACACCAATTGGAAACATACTGATAAGGCAGAACATTTTTTAGACGAGTTGGCGTATTTTTTTTTTTAAAGATTTTATTTATTTATTCATGAGAGACACACACAGAGAGAGAGAGAGGCAGAGGGAGAAGCAGGCTCCCAAGGAGCAGGGAGCCTGATGCGGGACTCGATCCCAGGACCCTGGGATCATGACCTGAGCCGAAGGCAGACGCTTAACCATCTGAGCCACCCAGGCGCCCAAGTTGGCGTATTTTTTACAAAGTATTCCAAATCCTTAGAAGTAGGTGAGACAGGGAAATATTTTTCCTAAAAGGATACCAAATTCTCAATCAGCTGAAAAGGCCCTACTATCTGTAACATGTTATAATTTTGGTGAAGGTGAATGTTAGGCAGTTGGGGCACTAGGCTGATTGATCTTTAGGTTTCTGACTTTGGGTGAATTGACCAAGACCAGTGAAAGACTGAAAATAAGCAAGAGGAAGAATGCCCAGGTCGACCCTTGGAGGCCCAGTAGCTGCAGTGGTGGTGGTGATGGTGGTGGTGGGATTTTTGCAAGCTTGTGTTTATGCCACTTGTACTGAGTGAGGAGTCACTGGTGAATTATGAAACTCTCTCTTTCTGCAGATTGCGCTTCATGTCAGTAGAAATGGACAGCAGCAGTTTTATTCAGTTTGATGTGCCCGAGTACAGCAGCACTGTTCTGAGCCAGCTAAATGAACTCCGCCTGCAGGGGAAACTATGTGACATCATTGTCCACATTCAGGGTCAGCCATTCCGAGCCCACAAAGCCGTCCTCGCTGCCAGCTCCCCCTATTTCCGGGACCATTCAGCATTAAGTACCATGAGTGGCTTGTCAATATCCGTGATTAAAAATCCCAATGTGTTTGAACAGTTGCTGTCATTTTGTTACACTGGAAGAATGTCCTTGCAGCTGAAGGATGTTGTCAGCTTTCTGACCGCGGCCAGCTTTCTTCAGATGCAGTGCGTCATCGACAAGTGCACGCAGATCCTGGAGAGCATCCATTCAAAGATCAGTGTTGGAGATGTTGACTCCGTGACTGTCGGCGCTGAGGAGACAACCGAGAGTCGTAATGGAGTTAAGGACAGCAGCTTCTTTGCCAACCCGGTTGAGATCTCCCCTCCATATTGCTCTCAGGTACGGCAGCCCACCACGAGCAGCGACCTTCGGATGGAGACGACGCCCAGCAAAGCTCTGCGCAGCCGCTTACAGGAGGAAGGGCACTCGGACCGAGGGAGCAGTGGGAGCGTTTCCGAGTACGAGATTCAGATAGAGGGGGACCATGAACAAGGGGACCTGCTGGTGAGGGAGAGCCAGATCACCGAGGTGAAAGTGAAGATGGAGAAGTCCGACCGGCCCAGCTGTTCCGACAGCTCCTCGCTGGGGGACGACGGGTACCACACGGAGATGGTGGACGGGGAGCAAGTTGTGGCAGTGAACGTGGGGTCGTACGGCTCCGTGCTGCAGCACGCCTATTCCTATTCCCAAGCAGCCTCACAGCCAGCCAGCGTCTCCGAAGCTTTTGGAAGTTTGAGTAATTCCAGCCCGTCCAGATCCATGCTGAGCTGTTTCCGAGGAGGGCGCGCACGCCAAAAGCGGGCTTTGTCCGTCCACCTGCACAGTGATCTGCAGGGCTTGGTGCAGGGTTCCGATGGCGAAGCGATGATGAATAACCCCGGGTACGAGAGCAGTCCCCGGGAGAGGAGTGCAAGAGGGCACTGGTACCCGTACAATGAGAGGTTGATCTGTATTTACTGTGGGAAGTCCTTCAACCAGAAAGGAAGCCTTGACAGGCACATGCGGCTCCACATGGGCATCACCCCCTTTGTGTGCAAGTTCTGTGGGAAGAAGTACACGCGCAAGGACCAACTGGAGTACCACATCCGGGGCCACACCGATGACAAACCATTCCGCTGTGAGATCTGCGGCAAGTGCTTTCCATTCCAAGGTACCCTCAACCAGCACCTGCGGAAAAACCACCCCGGCGTCGCGGAAGTCAGGAGTCGCATCGAGTCCCCCGAGAGAACAGATGTGTACATGGAACAGAAACTAGAAAATGATGCATCCGCCTCAGAGATGGCCCTAGATTCCCGGATGGAAATTCACACAGTGTCTGACGCTCCTGATTAAGATGGTAACGAAGTGCACCCAAACAAAGCACATTAATCAATGCATATTTGTGATTTGCTTTGTTGTAATCTTTGGTTTTCCCAACCATCTGGAAATCTCTCGGTCTCTTGGCAGTTTTTCTAAGGTTTCTGGAAGGAACACTTCATTGTGTTTATCCTTTCCCCCCGCCCTCCCTCTCCCAAGGAGCTCAAAGCATGAAGGGCAACGTATCCAGGGAAAACACAGGCTGACAGTATTCCTCTTTGGCTGAACTCTTAATCCAAAATCTGCCAGTGATTTAGCTATGCCAACTGGTTGACCCTACATTCTCTGCCAAGAGGCATGCTCTCTCGTTGTGTGCACTGGCATCGGTGCGTTTCCATGGAGAGAGACCAGGATGCCGTCAGCTGATACAAATGGGTAACCTTTTCTAATTTAAAATGACTTCTAGGGGGTAGTTAGACAATTTATATATATATATATAATAAAGCGATTATTATATATATAGTATATATACATTCTCAAATTTGATTTTATTCTGGTTGAGGTGAATGTAAGAGGAATATATAATTTAATACAATGTGAACAGGGCTTTTGACTCTGTCTCGTCCCTACCTGATGTTAGGGTTTTGCCCCTTTATTTCCCTTACAAAAGAATGTTAATAGGTTTTCATATATATTAATCATTGTGTCCAAAAGCAAGCAAAGCAAATCACAGTGTTCATAGCTCTGCTTCATAACAAGTACATAAACCAAATGCCATAAAATGTATTCAACTCTAGTTGGAAACCGTTTGGAATTTTTGTTCGTTGTCCAGTAGGTAAGCTGGATGACCCGTGGTGCTGACCTTTTTACATATTGTAGTGTTATATTAGCCAACCCCAAAGGAGCAGTGGTTTTCAATGTTTTTACTGGCTTACGAATCTACCTTCATTCCGTACTGTAGAAACATACATACCAGGTAACTAAATCAAATCACTCTACCATGAGTTAGTACTCGCACTAAAGGAAAGGGATTTGTAGTTCTGTCTACAAAATTCTCCAAGCAGTGTTGTGGGTTTTTTTTTTTCCCCCCTCTCTCTCTCTCTTTTTTCAAACAGCTAGTTCAGGTGCACAGCAACTTTTCTACATGCAGTTCCCAGGGAAACTGCAGAACTTGGAATTTGTACTTTTTGTAAAGATATACTCTATGGGAATTGCAAGCAATATCTCTATCTTAGTATTGTGTGTGCTAATGAGAGCAGTGGCTCCCCCACTCTCAGTGTTTCCTGCTTAAAGAAACCAACAGTCAAAAAGCCCTCTACAATACTCTGTGTGTCACCAAATCTGTGTGTGTCACCATTTTTTTTGGTCACGTGGTGCTATTTTTTATGTTCCGTATCTTTTAGGTCAGTATCGTTGTAGAAAATGTGAAATCTAATGGTCATAGTGAATTACAGGTTTTTTTCCCCTCTCTTGAGTTTGTAGCTTGAAGAGAGACCTCAAAATCATGTGCTGGCAAACACATTACTGTGTGAGAACACATCTGAGTCCTGTTTGAGTAACGTTTTGTGAGCGCTGCAGGAGAAGTCTTCAGTTCTGTATTTTGTTTCCCCGTGTGCTCGTAGTAAACAAAACGGGCTTCCCGAGATCTCTTCGGTACTGTGTACTCCCACAGAGGAATCTCGGCAGCAGTCGGATGGTGTGTTTGTGCTGCAGGCTGCCCGCAGAATCTGTGCCCGAGAACCTCGGCCCTGAGACCCACAGCCAGTGTGTCCCCACAGGGGAACAGCACAAACCACCTAAAAGCAACACGGATACGAAATAGACCAACCTCAGAGGCTAGGAGTTAAAGGAATACAAAAATAGACGTTTGCCGGTTTTCCATGCTTTTTTGGCTCTTAAAATACCAAGAATGGTGGGGGCTTCGGGGAGGGGGCGGGGTGTTTTGGGGAGGTTTTTGTTTCGTTTCGTTTTGTTATTTTGAGAAAAGAAAATCATTCAGGCCCTTGTGTGTGATAGCCCCCGGGGGTGGTAGCTGTGCGGGAGCATGTCTTTAGCACACAGGATCTGTCTGCTCACGTGCGAACCGCTGCGCCACACGTCAGTGTTACTACGTACAGATTACACTCTAATCCTGCTGCTCCCGAGGAGCAGCTTTTGCTAAATCGGGTATATAGTATGCCTTTTCCTGTCAAACTGCCTAAGTAAGGGGTGCGTTCTCTCCCTGAAGCACTTGCCCAACTCCTGTCAAAGCCGCGTGCCTCAAGGGGAGGCTGGACCCCAAGTGTTTACCCACTTAAATATGTTCTGGGGTTTCAGGTAAATGTTTGTGATTTTTGTTTTTTTTTTCCTTACATGAGTTAGCTTGGTTTTGATTTTTCTTTTTAAGAATTAAATGCAAAAAATTTGTGTGGTGATACAAATTAAGTTTGTGACAAGAAATGCCCAAATCAAGGACATGAGAGGTCAGGCTCAGGGAAGGAACCTCCTTTTCACTCAGGCTTGGGGCCTCCTGAGAGGTCTCCAGAGCATTCCGTGATAGATGAGACAAGTCGGGAGGGGAGAGCACTTGGGGCAGGTACCTCGGATATCCTGGTTCTTGTCATTGTGTCTGTCTTTACCTTATTTACACGGAGTTCCTTGTATTTGTCAATTTGTTTAACTGGTTTGAGTTTACCAAAGAGTGACTTATCCAAAATTGTCTTTGACAAAACTATACATTGCTTTGATTGTACAGTTCAGGTTCAAACATTGTAATGGGACTGTTAAGGGGCAGAAAATTGATTGAGTTTCTCTCTAATAACCATGATTCCACATCTTGCAAGTTCCACTTGCCTCCCATTCATGTTGCTAACACTTGACCCTTTCCACTGCTAGCAGTGTTAAGAATGAATTCTCAAGCCATAACCCAGTACTGTAAGGTTCCACAGGGCTTCGAGGAGGCAGAGCAGAGGCCAGCGCAGAGCTGGGCAGCCTCTCTTGAGCGAGCACGCCGTCGTGCTCCTCAGTGTGCGTGGCGGGTGGAAGGTTAACTCCATTCAGATCGGGCAGCAGCAATTAATTGTGCCTTGTCACATGAGGACGTGCCAGGAGGATGAACATGGCCACAGAACAGAAACATTCTCTCCCCGAAGGTCCCTTCACGTCTCCACAGACGAAGTTCGCTGTGTAACTCCTGAGAGCAACTCTTTTTGGAAAGCAAAGTCCCGATTTCTGTACAGTTTTAGGTTAGATGTTTCATTTATAACAAATGCAAAAGTCAATTAAGATAGAAGTGATATGTGAAGAAATCTTTTACAGCAAAACATATCCTGAATTCATATAGGTCTGTTCATAATTGAGTCTCTTCTTGAGCTACCTTTTCCAATACGTAGACAATGTGAAGACAGTGACGGCGTCCTTTCCTCTAGGTGTTTCACCTGTTACTACAAACTGTGAAAACAAAGAATTTTATACTTTTACTAATGTTTGTGGTTTTAAACAGTTGTTTTCATTCTAATCAGTTCTCTCCCCTCTAATTTCTACTAAAGCTGTAAATACATTTAGAAATTATATTTGTAAATACAGCATATGAAGACAAGTTAATTTTTTGGTCAGTGGAAAGCCTCCCAATTGGCTCTGCCTTGGCAGTTTTGTTTTTTTGTTCATTTGCGTGTGTGTGTTTGTGTGTGTGTGTGGCGTGCGCGTGTGTGTGTGTGTGTGTGTGTTTAACAGCAGAAAGGATACTGTCGGTTCACTGTTAAGCAGAATATACTGTAGAACTAAATTGATAATTTTCCAGCTTCCAGAGCATGAGTAGACGTCTTTTCTCATGATAGCAGTTATAACCAAGTCTTTGTTTTTCCCTTAGCCCAGACCATAGGCCTGCATATCTTTGTGTGTGGTTTTTGTTTTTACTTTTATTTTTTCGGCCTAGACTCTAGGAAGAACTTGCAGGAACACAAAACAAGGGCTGGGGGGAGTGGGTGGGAATCATCTACGTGAATGAGCTTTACTTTAAAGAAATCAATGTATTTTATTTTAACAACTTTTTCTATTAGTTACTGTGATTTTTGTTGTTGTCTTTGTTATTGTTAAATTCTGTAATGGTTTCCTGTGAAGCCTCCACTGAAAGGGACTCAAATATGCAACACCTAAACTATTTTCCAAGGGCACACGCCCCTTGAATGGTGCTTCTAGACTGGTCAGGGTTATTTATTAAATTTTATATATGAAAGTATTGGGGAATTATGTAAATTCTTTATATGAAACTATCTAGTTCATAAATCATAGATTTCATATTACTCAGTGCAACTGAACTGAACGTTCAGAAGAGTCATTCACATTGTTCCAAATTTGTAATGGTTGTCGCACGTCACATACGTCTTCTTCAGTAAGTGCCAGAGTGTTTCCACTGTTTCTGCCCGGTGCTCGACTTCTCGGCCCAGAGGAGGACCTTGTTTTCCCTGGTTCCCCTCTGGGCCTGGCACACACAGGGCTCCTGTAGTTCTTGGTCAAGTCCTGGAGTGAGCCCTGCTGCAGACGCAGTAACCAGACCTCTTGCTGCCCCTCAGTGACAAGTATGCTGTGAATTCAACCTTTGGACTTGCTGCCCAAGCCTTTGGTTGCTGCCCTGACTATAGTAAGAGGTAAACTTACCTGGTTTCTTTGAGAATGACCATTTTCCTAATGTGAAAACCATCTCTCTCACCACTTTTATTAGTAGGGCTAACATTTTTTTCCGTTATAAATGGTTGAGCAATTTGAATGACTTAACACAGTGTCATTATCTTGCAATATAAACTGGTAACCTCACAAGCCCACACTTCATCACCATATGAAGTAAATGAAGCTAGCTAAGCGGATGCTGTATCAACTAGTAACTTGCCATTAAGGATTATTTTATAGCATGAATTTAAGACTATTTATTCAAATAATATTTTACTCTTGTATTCATTTTGTTTTAGATTTGTGACATGAATATTTCAGTGCTGCTTAATTTTGTTCTGAATTCTTGTTTCTTGCTTGTAAATGGCTTTTTTATGGTATAAAGTCAATGG